TAGGCGGAATTTCCATTGGTACTACTTTTTTGAAAATCGTTGGGTTAGTTTTTGAGGAAAATTAAATTTTTTGAAAAAAATAAACATTTCCAAATCGGCTCAAAAAAATTATTTCCATAATACCTGTTTTCATCAAACAGGAATTTTCATAATAAGTGTTTTTATCAAACAGTAACTTTCTTGTGTTTTCTTGGCGTAGGTTTTTTGTCGTCTGTTTTGTTGGCCGTTTTCAATTGGTTTTTTGTGAAATTACTGCTGTTCGATGAAAAATCCAAGGATGTTACAGCAACAATCCAAATGAGAGTCACAATTACTGCTGCTCCAAAAAATGATGTTTCATCATTTTTCTTTTTTTTGCACGTCTGTTTTCATCCATTTTCCTCCGCTGAGGCACTGCTTTCTTTTTGGTTCGGCTGTTTATGCATGTATCAGGTCTTCCCCCACCATAATTCGCGAAAAAAAAGACGTTCTCGATGTAAACCTTCGCTGTGCGTTAGTTCCAGTTTAGCGTTCTCAACTAGCATGAGCATGATCAACATCCCCTTAATACAGCGAACTGAAGCTGATAGCAGTATTGATTCTTAGACCATTAACAATTGAAATTCGGTTATATTTTTTCTTATTTATCAAAATCGACTTTATTGCCAAAGATGGAAAACTGTTCTCACAGAAAGAGAAAACTGTTCTCAGAAAGAAACACTACATTTATGTTATCTCTCGTTTAAAAACAGACAGGTGAAAAATCAATTTGATTAGTTAGAGAAGAGTGATAAATAAAACGCTAGATGTATAATAAATAAATTTTAATATTCTGATTTTATTCGAGTCACTTCAAATCTATCATTTTCAACAACTTCATTGGGATTTTGCAAGCGCCACACAATTCAATAAGGGTCGGAAATGTATCCAGGGATGAGCGAGTAAAACGGACAGCTGCTTTAAAATGAAGTCGATTTCAAAGTAGCTATTAGATAGACATGCATTTGAGGAGAGACATGAACGCATCAAAACGAGTCATATTGCACCACTGTGGTTTAAAAAATTGAAGACTGCCCCCAAGAGGAAAAATTCTCAGCCAGAAGTAAGTTAATAATCTATTTGAAGCAGCGACAAGGACATATGGATAAAGTCGAACAGATTTTTTTGGCTTCAGATAAAAACAAAAATACTTAATTTTATATTTTTGATTTTACTTCTTTTTGGGACTTTCTGTTTTAAGGCCCAAAATTATCAAACTATCAATTTAGCTTCTGTTTTTATTGAAAACCAAGATTTATTTTCGCTGATATTAGTTTGCAGTTTCAACCAATCAGATTCGAGAATTATGGACAAATTTTGAAAACAGCAATAAGATCAGCATTTGGACCGTATAACAGAAAAAGCCTCTTCTTTATGTAAATATACAGATAACAATCTAAAGTAATCATTGAAAACAGCAGAAATAAAAAGAGGAAGAAGCTGTGAGGTTGAGATACTCGGAAGAAAAAACGCTGTAGCAAAGCCAAAACTAGCAGATGGATCGGCGGTGTATCAACTTGCATAAAGCTCGACTAGCATAAGACCTTTGAATTAAAAATCGTATCGACTAGCAAAAAAGAAGCACGAAAGTCAAATATTGTCAAAATTCATATCACTTTACCTCTAAAAACATACATAAATTATAGTTTTTTTCGCACATTTTACAATTTGCCGGTTCAAGCCATCACAGGTCAGTGGTATGACTGATCACGATTTATTTTTAAAAAAACTCAATTTATTTGTAGATTTCAAGGGACTGCTTCTCTAGGTTTGTTCTGCCTCTCTATTAAAGACATCGCAAACTGGTCTCTTGAGTGGTGAGCTTAGCGAGGTGACAGAGATTTACTACTATCCACAATCACGGAAGGGTTAAATTGGTGCCAACTATTCTGTACTGTATGTTACTTGTCCCATTTTATTACTGCTCTTGTAGCTGTCTCGTCCGATCGATAAGATCGCAAGAATTTCCAATGGTACTTAAATTCAGATATTACAAGCCCAAATACAGAAAACTCTAGGTGGCCAGAATAAAATCTAACAACCTAATCGAAGAAACGGTCCGTAATTTATCAGCACAATTGTCTAATTACAATTTAACTTCCAACTAACTCAACTAAAGGATTCTCTCACTCTCTCTCTTGAATACTAAATAACCAATTACAGTAATTCCACCCAACCACTCAGTTCGACCTGCCCAAAGTAATAGTGTCTCTACAGATCACAACTCTTTTCAGGTACTAAAACTGATCTCGCTAACTTCAAGAATCACTGTTCTCAACTCAGATGAGAACCAACTATCTACTAAATTATAATCTCTCAACTCAATAATGGTTCTCTAACTAACTGAGAAAAAACCATTCGCTTTGATAGCACAATTGTTCAGCCAAAGGGTAGGCTACCCGAAGCCTTTTCGCTGTGCTTGTATATTTGAGTTTCAGTTATAAATATGATCGTCACCGCAAGTCCCGATACTTACTTTGGTACCTTTTTCGCAAAGTTAACTGAACTCTTCCTCTGACGATACCAGTTATAAATGCCAAGTTCACCAGAGATACCTCCAACTAAGTTGAGCAAATGTCAAGTCCAATTTCACCTCTAAACCAAGCTATGTTTAATTAACTAATCTTCCAAGGTTTTTAAATAATTATCCCATAAACGTTCCGACACCCCGATGGTAGGTGAAGATCCTTTTTAAAGGTGGCTTGCTCATAACAAACATCTCAAACTATCAGCTATAATCTATGCCAATACCGACCTTCTAGCTATTATGGGAACGTAAATCGTTTATTAGGGGGTCAAACTCTGCTAAAAAGTCACCTCCGGTGAGCTAAGTTAATATCCCGTCCGTTGGCATTAATTACTAGATCTACTTCCCATGTTAGGCTTCTATTTCTGCCAATTTCCTCGGGGACCACTTTTGTTTAGTCTGATAGAATTTCTCATTCCCCAAGCTAAGCTGAACCCAACATTTGCCAGGTCCATTTTCATTAGTTCCACTACTTCAATCTTAAAATTTAAAAGCTATATACCTTCCAGCTTCTGCTTCAGTCGCCAATTGATATTTTTCCTCTCAAATATCACTCCTTCTATGCAACTTTGGTCCTTAACGCCTAAAGGTCATTTAATCATTTAAAAATCATGCTTGGGTCAATCTGCTACATTCGGGTTCGAGAGGGTCCTTCCTACCAAGTTTCATCTATACCCCATTAGTACTTCCCAAGTTATCCCATTTCTAAGGTTCAGTATCAAGTTTCCCGAGACGCGCGATTAACACCGGAAGCGTTCCTCGGATGGTACGGGTCACTGGGGGTCCTTCTTCAGGGCTGGGTTTTAGTGTCTATTGCCGCCATAAAATCAATATGCCCTCGCTCATTATCTTGCGGAAATTGCGAACTTCCGGTCTAAGGTATAATTTACCAAAGTGCTCCGGCCCAACAGTCAGATCTAATTCAAATTATGACATACAACCTATCTTGCCATTATCCATTATACCTCGAAGTTTTGGCTCCCTGCGTTTTAGTGAGGGCCGAGAAACGACATCCGCAATCCGAGTTGAGGAATAATTATTTAAAGCATTTGTCAACGCTGTATATCGGGAAGTTCTTATCTCTTGGTCTTCTAAGGTTGCATGTGTTTCTTAACAGAGCCATAAGGACGATCGAACTTCAAATTTTCGAAATCCTTTCACTGTGTTGCCGGGGTACTAGAAAGTTTTTATACCCCTATCTTAATATATGGGCATCAGGTGATTTTTTCGAGATCTCATGAATTCTTGGTTTTCTCGTCCGCTGGGCTTTTCAAGTGCCTCATTGGTGCTTTGAACTTGCTCGGTGGAAAATTTTTTGGGATTCGGCCATGTTGGCGGGGGCCCCTAGATTTTTTTATGGCCTATCTTAATACATAGGCAACAGGTGAATTTTCCGAGATCTCGGGAAGTTGTTACCTCCTAGTGGACTGACTTCTTGCAGCGTCCTATTAGTGCTATGTAAGGGTCTATGAGGGTCGAGGACGCTGCTACATGTATAAAAAGACTAAATTTCGGAAAGTATCGAAAATGAAGTTAAAACCTGAACTTGTCTAAATTTTGATTGCCCTCATTCGTTCAATTTACGTTACTTATCACACAACTGGGCCATTGAGTTATTGTAGCGCACAATTGTATTTCTATATAGACGCAAGGTAATGCTATCTAAGACGACTTCGTAATTTGTCGAAAAAAATGTTAGGATTACCAATCATACATTATTGTTGTTTGCTAAATATCTCAATTTTTATTTCTCAGAAAATGAAGTTTCAATTTGAAAAGATTATCAATGTTAATTTGTATTTCTGGGAAACAAAGCTGACAAAATTATGCTAGTCGATACATTTTCATGTTTTTAAACTTTTATGCTAGTCGAGCTTTATAATAGCCGAGCGGTCACCGATGGATCATGGATGAGGAGAAATTTTATTAGCACACCCTCCAACAGCTGCGAGTTGAGCAGAGCATATGAGCCGGAAACTGACACAGTAGGTCTTCCTCCCTATTCTGTGGATGGCACGCCAACAATGGAACACTGCTGCTATGTATTGAGATATTAACAAAATAACTATTAAGATGTACAATATTAAAAGGAATAAGCAACCAACAGCAACTTCATCTAAGCACAACCAAACGAGAAAACAAAAGAATAAAACTTAGTTTTATCAAAAATATTTGTTGATTTTGTAGACAAATGGAGTAACAAAACTGACAGAGGCGAAGCTGCGCTTCGCAAACACTAGCGAGAACACAACAAAAAGCTGCTCTAAATTGCAATAAAAAAGTAGAAATAAGCCTCGAATTAGATTAAATTCGGCTACGTCTCGGATTCGATCTGCGACCTAGATATTATTGAGTCTCACGCACTAACCACTCACGCTTAATAAACTTCCAAAGCTACAGATAGTAATTATAGCAAATAACTGCCACCAAACAGGTGAACACTTTTATTTGCGCGTTAGGTTAAAAAAAGAAGATTCGTACTGATACACTTCGCTCGCAAGCTGGCTAGTGTAAAGCGACGAGAAAAATATCTGATTCTTTATACATTTTTTATACAGCCAGTGCAGTTCACCAACGCCTGCCACAGGCGAGCGAGAACTACAGGCAACTACAATTCCATATGTTTGACTTTGAGTAGTTTTTCAAGTTCTGTGCATATCTTACTGCGGTGTGATGTGTCCATTCAGAATAGACCAACAGTAGACATTTCTAGACACTTTTAGTCCCATAACACTTCCGCGGAACACAGCACTCACGCACGCACCCACTACTGATCTCAGGTTCTAATCTCACGTTGGTCCACTCTGTTGATCCGCTGTGACTTCAACAGCACAAGACTTTATGGGCAAAAAACTGCACTCAAGTGGCATTGATGCCGCCGCGGTCTTGATAGAATCATCCACAAAGACACTCATCGTAGGCTGCTTTGATCTAACACGTGGGGGACACGATTCCAGTTGCACACTAGATGACGATGACAACTCGTTGGTGCTAATTGTGAATTGACTGCTAATAGTGGAATGAGCTGAATCATCCCAGAAGGGAATGCCGCTCACTGGCTGTGAACAGTTGGCTACTTCAGCCGCTGCACGAATAATCCTCTGAGGACTTGGCGGATTGAACCCAAAAGTTTCCTCATCCAAAACAAGACATTTTCCATCAGCGTTCAGCGTCTGGAAAGTGTGCTCCCTGTGAACATACGCCTGTGAATGAGTGGGCGTGAAAGGAAGCACTGGAGTTGCAACTCTTGTCCCCCCTAGACCCGAGCCAGCAATGGACGGAGAATCCAGTCCGGAATCCCTGGACACGTCATCAATCGGAGAAATTCTGTTGGACCCGCATGCTGATCTACACAGGGATCCAATTGAGCTGGACGGCCTAGTGCATACACCAGTGCCCTCTGGAAAAGAGTTCGAGCACTCTTCAATTCTCCGTGCCAGTTCCTTTTCGAAGCACGAGTTTTCTATAATTTGCGGAGCCTGCTTGTTGCTTTGTTTCATTTGTTTGCTGTGTGCAGCTGTGGATGCAACAAACAATTCAATCGGCCCCGAGTGCGACCGTATTGCCAATTTTTCCGATGAGTAAACTGAGAACTCCGTGTTCTTGGGTCCATTGGCAAAGATGAGCAATCGATTCGCTCCCAACTCGTTCACTCCTCTCACTGCCTGATGTTTGACATAACCAAACCTGTTGTTGATACAGTCTTCGATTTCTTTCTCATACTGGTCCTGAAGAGCTCGCACTCTCAAGTCCAAATCCGCTTCTGTCTTTTCAAGATCAGCCAACTCATTTTTAATGCTCGCTATGTTGACATGATCAAAACTGATATCACAGCCTCCGCAACAAATCCATTGCACTTTGTTTTTCGACACCTTTTCTAGAAGTCCGATTCCTTCCAGAACATTCGTTATATCGTACAGGCGCCTTTTAGGGCACTTGATTTTCAGAGCCATTACGTTCAAGTCTACCGGAGGTCCGGAGAACTTTTGAATGTACTCAACAAATCGTCTCGAAGTCTGAGCCAGGGATCCATCGTTCTTTTGCTGCAAATCCCCCATCGGTTGCTGTGAAGACACGTTCACTACTGGTGACGGCATCGAACGCATTTCTTCTGCCTTCGAATTCGACACAACTCGACACAATTTGTGTTGTTCCAGTGGTACAGTGGAAACCAGAGACCTTTTGCGTATGCTAATGTTGCTGCTGTTGTAACTGTTACAGTCACTTGGCGGTAACGCCAGAAATCGCATTGAACAGTTGACTACACTCGGAGGCATTTTAGTAGTCGACATTGCATTCGCTTCACTTCCACTGCTGTCAATGACCCCGGCTGCGGCTACCTCCGTTTTTGCTCTATCCATATGGCTATTCAAATCCGCACACAATTTCTTCGCCCACTTTTTGTTCAGTGGCGGCTGGAAAGGCCGAGACCCGTTGCCTCCCGATAGATCAAGTCGCCTTTTGATCGGTTGCTTTTGCATGGACGGTTTTACCGTGTGACTGGTCAAAAAACCATGACTTAGAACTTGGCTCGAAACAACCATGCTCGTTGTTGCCGACACCTGTCCTCGTGAAGAGTTCAATTGCCAATTATCTTGATGGGATTTGTTACAACTGGATGAGGCGAACTCTGGCGGTGTTTGACTAGTCGCACTAGATAGTGATGGCAAAAACTTGCGCACATCATTTGATGAGTAGTCGAACAAATGCGTGTGTTCTGCTATTGCAACTGGGTAACTGAACGGATAGTGCAACTGTTGATCGCCGACAGTGGCCGATGGAACAGAACTTGCCACAATTGTAGGAGTCAAAGTGGTATTTGCATCACACACTTCTAACTTGTTCGGCCATCTCGAACTTGGAATATTGTTCGCTATGGTTAAGTGCGCAGTGTTCAGCATCAGCCGTTCTCGTTCGCTTGTGTGAGTCACTTTTGGCACATGCTGGGTGAGCGATAGCGAGTGTGGAATTTGTTGCAAGTTAGATGTCGAGGCTATTTCTTGATTCTGCAAGGGTAATACGAATTCTAAGCTATGTCCCATTTCGCGGCTTTCATCCGGAAGCGACGCATTTGGTTTTCTTATCGGCGACGGGTTCGCATTTTTAGTTCTCCGTCCCATCGCACAAAACTGAAATGGTTATTTTGACCACAATCTATCAATGTAACCTGATTGCAATGAATAAGGAAAGAAACCGTTTTCAACAAAATCAAGTTTGCCATTAAAGGCCACTCTTCTGTTCTATCACCTTTTCAGGGCGAACTCTAATTAAATAAACACACGAGACAATCACTCGCAAATAGGCACGCCCCCCTCCCTGTGGAAAAATATCACCGCTCACTCAATTTCACAAACTTGATTAACCCAAAATATAGAAAAAACAAATTCTTCAATAGCATTTAATGATAATCTGTTTTTCACCTTGGTATTCATCTATTTTTCACTCAGGTAGTTTTCAAAGTGCCGTTAATTGCTCAGATACTCACTTCGCTTACTCTTTTATACACACTTCAATCGCCTGCCTTTCTTATATTTACTTATATCCTGTCAGGGCTTCATGGGGCCTAGGAAATTAGACGACAAGCAAATTAAACGACCGTAAAGAAACGGAATTTAAGGACAACTAGTATTTACTCAGCCAAAAGTTAATTTAAGTCTAAACAAAATTCACGCAATTTGCACGCAAGTTATTGTCTAAATTGGACAACCAGTATTTACTCAGCCAAAAGATAATTTAAGTCTGTAAACAAGTTTCACGCAATTTGCACGCAAGTTATTGTCTAAATTCCATTATTTTCTGATCGTCTAATTTCCAGTCGTATAAGTTCGTAAACCCCGGGCTTCATAGTCTATAATTAACGCTAGATTTGCAACCCCTGATACTACCCTGACAGCAACTCACTATAGGGTTGAAAAATTCAAGTTCGGTTAATTATTTAATATTTGAATTTTTATGAAAAAAAAAATGAAAATATTAATAATAAAAATGCCATATCTCGAAAAAATAAAAGGATTCGAGCATTCAAACTTGACGCTATATTTACAAACTCTGATTCTACCCTGACAGCAACCCACTATAGGGTTGAGAAATTCAAGTTCGGTTAGTTTGCTTTAAATCTTTGTTTTTTTAAATAAAAAAAACATAAAAACGCCATATTTCGCAAAAAAAAAGGATTCAAGCAGTCATACTTGGACGCCAGATTTGCAACCCCTGAATGCACCTTGACAGAACCCCACTACAGGGTTGAGAAATTCAAGTTCGGCTAGTTTTTTTTGAACTAAAAAACCTTAAAAACGCAATATCTCGAAAATACAACAATTTGAGCAGTCATACCTGGACGCCACATTTGCAACCCCTGTTTCCACGTTGACGGCAACCCACTATAAGGTTGAGAATTTCAATTTCGGATAGTTTTTTTATCTAAGTTTTGCTGAAAAAAACATGAAAAAAAATTATGAAAAACGCCATATCTCGAAAACCAAAAAGATTTGAGCAGTCATACGTAAAACCCAGCTTTGCAACCCCTGAATATACCCTGACAGTACACCAATATAGGGTTGAGAAACTCAAGTTCGGTTAGTTTTTTATATCTGAATTTTTTTTGGAAAAAAATGGAAAAAAAAATCATAAAAAACGCCATATCTCGGAAAGCAAACAATTTTGAGCAGTCATACTTGGACGCCAGATTCGCAACACCTGCTTCTACCCTGACAGCAACCCACATTAGCGTTGAGATATTCAAGTTCGGTCAGTTTGTTTTAATATCTAAATTGAAAAAAAAATCATAAAAAGCAGTTTCTCGAAGTCTAAAAGAATTTGAGCAGTCATACTTGGACGCCAGATTTGCAACCCATGAATGTGCCCTGACAGCAACCCACTATAGGGTTGAGAAATTCAAGTTCGCTTGGTTTGTTTTTTATCTAAGTTTTATTGGAAAAAAAAACAAAAAACGCCATATCTCGAAAACCAAAAAGATTTGAGCAGCCATACTTGGACGCCAGATTTGCAACTGCTGAATGTACCCTGACAGCAACCCACTAAAAGCTTGGGAAATTAAAGTTCGGTTGGTTTTTTAATATCTAATTTTTTTGAAAAAAAAATTAAAATAATAAAAGTGCCATATCTCGACGAATAAAAGGATTTGAGAAGTCATACTTGGACGCCAGATTTGCAGCCCCTGAAAGTACCCTGACAGCACCTCAATATAGGGTTCAGAAATTCAAGTTCGCTTGGTTTGTTTTTTATCTAAATTTTGTTGAAAAAAAAAACATAAAAAACGCCATATCTCGAAAAACGAAAGGATTTGAGCAGTCATACTTGGACGCCAGATTTGCAACTTCTGAATGTACCCTGACAGCAACCCACTAAAAGCTTGAGAAATTGAAGTCCGGTTGGTTTTTTATATCTTAGTTTTTGAAAAAATCATAAAAAACGCCACATCTCAAAAAAAAAGGATTTGAGCAGTCATACTTGGACGCCAGATTTGCAACCCCTGATTCTACCCTAACAGCAACCCACTATAAGATTGAAAAATTCACTTCGGTTAGTTTTTTATATCTTAGTTTTTTTTGGAAAAAAAAAGAAAAATCATTAAAATGCCATATCTCGAAAACCAAAACGATTTGAGCAGTCATACTTGGACGCCAGATTTTCAACTCCTGAATGTACCCTGACAGCAACTCACTTAAAGGTTGAGAAATTCAAGTTTGGTTAGTTTTTTTTACATCTACGTTTTTTTTGAAAAACAATGAAAAAAAATCATAAAAAACGCAGTATCTGGAAAAACAAAAGGATTTGAGCAGTCCTACTTGGACGCCAGATTTGCAACCCCTAATTGTACCCTGACAGCACCCCACTATATATGAATGTTTAGAATGTATGTATATAGAAAATTTTCAAACTTGCAATATTTTGGCCTTTTAACAGACCAACAGACTTAACATGTGCCAAATGAAACTTCTTAAGCATTTTAACATACGGTATAGCTTAAACGTGCAAAAAAATAATACGTTGAAAGAGCTTAAACATGCAAAAATGGGGATTTCTTAAACATGTCAAAATAGGGACTTCTTAAACATGTGTCAAGTGAAACGCCAATTAAATAATAGATAGATAGAAGATAGATAGATAGATTGATCTCTGACCTGAGCGCAAACAAGGGGCGACCATTGCACAATTGAGGAAGTTCGACGGAGAGCCCCACAATGGATTCTGGGCTACTCTTAGTTACACAACAAAGATAGCATTGTATCACCTAATATAGTTCGGTTGGTTTTTTAATATCTAATTTTTTTGAAAAAAAAAATTAAAATAATAAAAGTGCCATATCTCGACGAATAAAAGGATTTGAGAAGTCATACTTGGACGCCAGATTTGCAGCCCCTGAAAGTACCCTGACAGCACCTCAAAAAAGGGTTCAGAAATTCAAGTTCGCTTGGTTTGTTTTTTATCTAAATTTTGTTGAAAAAAAACATAAAAAACGCCATATCTCGAAAACCGAAAGGATTTGAGCAGTCATACTTGGACGCCAGATTTGCAAATCCTGAATGTACCCTGACAGCAACCCACTAAAAGCTTGAGAAATTAAGTCCGGTTGGTTTTTTATATCTTAGTTTTTGAAAAAAAATCATAAAAAACGCCACATCTCAAAAAAAAAGGATTTGAGCAGTCATACTTAGAAGTTCGGTTAGTTTTTTTTTACCTAAGTTTTGCTGAAAAAAACATGAAAAAAAATTATGAAAAACGCCATATCTCGAAAACCAAAAAGATTTGAGAGGTCATACGTAAAACCCAGCTTTGCAACCCTTGAATATACCCTGACAGTACACCAATATAGGGTTGAGAAACTCAAGTTCGGTTAGTTTTTTATATCTGAATTTTTTTTTGGAAAAAAATGGAAAAAAAAATCATAAAAAACGCCATATCTCGGAAAGCAAAAAATTTTGGGCAGTCATACTTGGACGCCAGATTTGCAACCCCTGCTTCTACCCTGACAGCAACCCACAATAGCGTTGAGATATTCAAGTTCGGTCAGTTTGTTTTAATATCTAAATTTTTGAAAAAAAAAATGAAAAAAAAAAATCATAAAAAGCAATTTCTCGAAGTCTAAAAGAATTTGAGCAGTCATACTTGGACGCCAGATTTGCAACCCCTGAATGTGCCCTGACAGCAACCCACTATAGGGTTGAGAAATTCAAGTTCGCTTGGTTTGTTTTTTATCTAAGTTTTATTGGAAAAAAAAAAACAAAAAACGCCATATCTCGAAAACCAAAATGATTTGAGCAGCCATACTTGGACGCCAGATTTGCAACTCCTGAATGTACCCTGACAGCAACCCACTAAAACCTTGGGAAATTAAAGTTCGGTTGGTTTTTTTATATCTAATTTATTTGAAAAAAAAATTAAAATAATAAAAGTGCCATATCTCGACGAATAAAAGGATTTGAGAAGTCATACTTGGACGCCAGATTTGCAGCCCCTGAAAGTACCCTGACAGCACCTCAATAAAGGGTTCAGAAATTCAAGTTCGCTTGGTTTGTTTTTTATCTAAATTTTGTTGAAAAAAAAACATAAAAAACGCCATATCTCGAAAACCGAAAGGATTTGAGCAGTCATACTTGGACGCCAGATTTGCAACTCCTGAATGTACCCTGACAGCAACCCACTAAAAGCTTGAGAAATTAAAGTCCGGTTGGTTTTTTATATCTTAGTTTTTGAAAAAAAATCATAAAAAACGCCACATCTCAAAAAAAAGGATTTGAGCAGTCATACTTAGAAGTTCGGTTAGTTTTTTTTTACCTAAGTTTTGCTGAAAAAAACATGAAAAAAAATTATGAAAAACGCCATATCTCGAAAACCAAAAAGATTTGAGAGGTCATACATAAAAACCAGCTTTGCAACCCTTGAATATACCCTGACAGTACACCAATATAGGGTTGAGAAACTCAAGTTCGGTTAGTTTTTTATATCTGAATTTTTTTTTGGAAAAAAATGGAAAAAAATCAAAAAAACGCCATATCTCGGAAAGCAAAAAATTTTGAGCAGTCATACTTGGACGCCAGATTTGCAACCCCTGCTTCTACCCTGACAGCAACCCACAATAGCGTTGAGATATTCAAGTTCGGT